GTTATTTGTCTCCCTTATTGAACTGATTTTGTGGGTCAAGCAGTGGATCAACATGCCTTATTTGACTCTTCCTGTTCAAGTTTTAGTAGTTTAACACTTTGTTATATGGAGTATATACATATAAGTTTGTGTGTGTGTGTGTGAAACGTTGATTATGTTTGTTGATGTTCCTTTAATTATAAATATTTAGTTGATGAATAACATTTTAAGGAATAAAATAAATACTCATTTCCACCTGATCAAGGTGGTCTAAAAGGGTGAACATGTCAATAATCCTTTACCTTAACAGTGATTTTCATGGTTTTTGACAAAGTTGGTTCTCCGGGGAATTCGTAGTTTCTAGCAACAATTGCACATAGGAAGATTTTAGTCTTGGCCTCTTGGGAACTGCTCTAATTGTTACATGGATATCTATATTCTTTTCACTGCCGTGCGGCTTGAGCCTTTAGATTTGAATTCATGCTTTTTTTAATGCATTTCAAAGGGAAATGTCAATAATGTGACTGAAGCATACATTCAACTCCAACAACATTAAAAAAATCAGTTCAACTCTGAGGGAACATCCTTGAAAAGCACAGAACTTTAATCCACTGTGAATGATATGGAGAGATTCCTTAAAGAACTTAAGTTTGCTTGGTCATTCTAAGGTATTATATTGGTCTAAATTTGTGCCATTTGCTGGAATATCCAAACTGTTCCATTATCATAGGAAGCTCATAGGACTCTGTCCTCTAATATTTATCAAAAGTTGAAACTTAACAGTGTAAGGTGTTTGGAGAATGTCCTTCTCAAAATAGCTGATCTCAATTGTTACTTGGTCATGGGACTTGTCTTTGTTTTGTGACTTTCGGGAATAAAAATGTCTTCATGCAATGATCTTATCTAGTGTTTCTCATTTACAAATGACCAGCTAACACAAATCCTTTTATTATTACATTTTTAGGAAACATATATCTGAAGTTACTCATTTGAATGGATGATATTCCAACGCTTTTTACATAAATCTACTCTTTCTGAAGCCATACAAATTTGTTAAATGAAAATGAACAGAATCATAAATTCAATAAGCTCTGGTGTTTGTTGAAAATGGTAGTAGTCTCTGCTTAAGACTACTCCTAGTCCATGATAGTTTCTGATTGCAGTCTCCAGTTCAAGCTTTTCTGCTTTCCGGGCAATACATCCCCCATCTTCTTGCATGTAATTGAGTTATGAGTAATTATTTATTGATGCTTATTATATCCATGAGTTCTCTGGTACTAATTTTCTCAAATATTGATGCAGACACACTATGTTTTGTTGCTCTCATCATTTAAAGAACAACTACATCAACATGTCCGAGTCCATGCCATGGAAGCAGTCATGGCTTGTTGGGAACTAGAGCAATCTCTTCAGAGCTTAACAGGTGACAATCTCCTTACCTTCAGTTGCATTCTTTGAATTCTTTCATGTCTCAATGCTTAATGTATTTCTTTAACAAATAACATGCTCTTGGACAATGCAAGTCATATTCAACAGCTTGCCATGCATCTCAATGTGCCAATACACATACATTTTCTGGCTTATGACGACAGCTAGCATAATTTAATCACCTCTAGTGCTCTTCAACATTTGTTAATATATGTGCCTGGATTTGCCTTGCTCGTTTGTTTGTCCACCTTCCATCTCTATACCCTTATCTAGCTTGCCTAAACTTGACAGTGTCTCGTAGCTATTTGCATTTAATTGATGCATGAGTTAACGGACTGTAGTGTACTTTCTCTTTCCAGCTCCGAGTTTTCAGAAGAGTAGTCTTTGTTTTTGCTTCCAACATTGTGCAGGTTTTACTAACAGATAACTAGACAGCCTCGTAGCCCCTAGTATCCTGCCAAGTTTTATGTGTGTTTCTTTCTTACCGTTTCGTAACAGGGATGGCACCTGGTGAAGGTACTGGAGCAACAATGTCTGATGATGATGATGAACAAGAGGATAGTGACACAAACATTTTTGATGGAGGCGTGGATGGACCGGATACTATGGGTTTTGGTCCTCTTGTGCCAACTGAAACTGAGAGGTCTTTGATGGAGCGTGTGAGACAAGAATTGAAGCATGAGCTCAAACACGTAATAGTAGTTCTTCTCCGTAGCGGTTCATAAGTTGGTGTTTCATATTTCTGAAATGTTTTTCTGTTTTCTAGGGTTACAAGGAGAAGATTGTGGACATCAGGGAGGAAATCTTACGCAAGCGAAGAGCTGGAAAGCTTCCCGGCGATACAACATCTGTCTTAAAAGCCTGGTGGCAGTCTCACTCAAAATGGCCATATCCAACGGTTGGTTAGAATGTGTGGTCAGTTTTCCATTATTAGGACCTTTTATCATCTCTCCTCCCTAATAAATGTCCTCAACGATAAACAACAGGAGGAAGACAAAGCACGATTGGTACAGGAAACGGGCTTGCAACTAAAACAGATAAACAATTGGTTCATCAACCAAAGGAAACGAAACTGGCACAGTAATCCTTCATCCTCCTCGTCTTCTCAGAAAAGCAAACGCAAGAGGTAGGTCACCTGCTCACCGTTTGAATCTCCCCACTTCGTCTTGTAAGAGAGTCACTTTTAATGCTTGTGCAATCTTCTTCTTCTTGATTCTTCGAGTAGTAGTGCCGGGGAAAAAATGAGCAGCGAGCACTTCATGTGAGGGGCAGAACTTGTATAGTGGCAATCCCGTCAAATCACATATCAGTATACCAATAGTTAGTACTGGACATGAAAATTGAGCTCTCCCGATATGGCCAAATCCGCCCTCGTTGTCTGGTCTTGGCATCTTGGCAGGTCCATTCCATTTGGTAGAGCATATGCTTTTGAGTATTTTTTTTTAAATACAATGCGACTTATAATATTTAAGCAGCGGTGCATATTTTCTCCCCACTTCTATTTGGTTCTTTAAACGTTTTTTAGCATCTATTATTTTGGGTATAACCTGAATGTTAAATACGAGAGTAGTTATATTTTACATGTCCATGTTTTGTAAGTTTCACCTTTTTGTTCTATGTGAATATAAGTGGGTGACGCTGTTGATCATTGGAGACGTTGGGCCTGTTTGGGAATATCATTACTGATTAGCGTTAGCGTTTAGAAAAAGCTATCTACGCGCAGCGTTTAGCGTTAGCGTTTATAAAGAAATCTACACCGTTAAAATTTTATCTAAAACGCTAACGCTAATCTCTAACGCTATTCCCAAACAGGCCCGTTAGAATATACGGAGTAGTAGAATACAAGTGGATACAATATTTCTAGATGGATTATTTGTCTTCAATTAACTTATTTTACCCCCTACCCCNGAGAATGTTTTAGCTTTTTAATTGTGAGATTAAAGATTACTCCGTAACTCTTAACTTTTTCAAACTCTTTTCAGTTCTTTTAAAACAAACTTTTTCCTATTCTTTCTTGTTCTTCCAACGATTCAAAAAATGTATTTATATATAATGATATTATAACGCTATATATCTAAATGTATAACATATCACTTCAAACACGGACAAATATAATTTAACACTTCAATTTTTTTCTAACTCTTTTCTGTTTTTTTTTTCAACTCATTTTAGTTTCGTCTAACTTCTAATTTCTTCTAATATCTAATTTTGAAAATCTATATCTATATATATACAATGATAGGAGGCTGTTTTGAACCGTGTTCCCGCCCAAAATTAATGGGTCGAGTCACTGCAAAATGGGCTGGTGTTATTTGGGCTGCTTCGAGTGGGCCGATTATGGGTATCTTCCAAGGCAAACTAAAAAAATTGTTCCCTTTATGTCCAATCAACATTTATTGAAGGGATTTTTAAATTTTTTTTTTGAGAGGTGTCTTGGAAAAGGCCATACACAGCATGCTTATTATTTGCAGAGGCATGGTTTTTTAAACCATTTGCAGATGGTATTTATTATAACACAGTACTAAGAAATCTTAACTTTTTACTTTGCAGAGATACATACATCAATTAATAATTATAACACGGTACTAATCACATCGAAGCCAACTATCTTCCATCTGCAATAGTTCAATTCCCTGACTTCATATAGCCCATGTAGCTTTATTTTATGGAAAATGCTAGGGATACACCAAAAGTGTACACCGAACATCCCCCACTCTCTCCATCACCATATAAAAAAGGCAAGAAATTTTGAAAAAAATTTAAAAATAAAAACAAAATTAAATGAATGGTTAGGAGGGTGGTGTACATTTGGGTACACTTTTTGGTGTACCCCTAGCATATCCCTTATTTTATTGAGTAGATTTTCAAATCTCTGTTTTCTTAAAATAGATTTTTAAATGCTTTATTAAAATGTATAAACCTACCCCCTCATGTAGTATAAATAAACCACAACTCCAAGGCAAACAACAAAAGAAGCATCCCAACGTCCCAAATTGAGGAGGTATTATTTTTGCATTAATCAAATTACATTTTAGAATTCTTTTGTTTGTTGAAAAACTAAGACAACAACAGTCATTTTATTTATTTTTGGATCTATTCTTAAATAGTGATGAAAAATGAAAATACTGATCAAAACCACCTCTTATTTTTAATAGTCCTTCCATTTCTAATACTTTTATAAAATACTAAAATTAGCCTTAAAGGATGAATACAACAATGTTTATTGTAACAAGAGTTTGTAGCATTGCAATGAAGAACAAAATCATCTAACAAAGATAGTTTAACAAAACCATACGAGTATATCAATCAAAATGTTTAAAAAAGAGGGATTTCTCCTGATATCTTAGAAACACTGACTCAAAGAATTACAAATAATAAGAGAAAAGCAGAAGAGATTTTATGAAAGATCAAAGCTTACATGAAAGAGAAAAGAAATTATATTTCTCTCTAAATATAAATTAGCAAGAAGTATGAAAACATCTAACAATCTTATAATATGTGTTAAAAAACACGGATCAAAAGGGTTATTTTTCTAAATAAAAAGTTGTGATAAAAAATATTAAAAAACTAATTCGAGATCTGAAACGAAAATTATAAATGAAGTCTCCTTATTAAATATAGATGTATATACTTAGTGAATATATGTCTCAAAAAAAATATAAATTATAAAAATACTTTTATAACTAATCTCCTTAAATCCAAACTGATTATAAATATATATTCATAAAGAGTAGATGACCAGAGAGATGAAGACGGTGGTGACAGAGAGAAGAAGACCCGAGAGAAGATGACCAGAGAGATGAAGACGAAGGTTGTAATGGAGGCGTAAATGAGGAGGTAGGGTTAGGGTAAAGTATATATTAATATATACTGGGCCGCAAATATCAATTGGGCTGGACAATTTTTCCTGCTATTAGGCCTGTGGGCTATAATTTAATATCTTACTTATTTTTATTAAAATTATATACTCCATCCGTCCTATTATTAACTTCCCACTTTGACTGGGAGTGATTTTTAAGATAGGGTAAAAATTACGTTGACCTTCCCAAAGTATCCCTATATTCATCCGCACCCAAACCTTCACTCCCAAATTGGAATTCTCCAAATCAAACAAATCTCATTTGGCAATTGAATTTGTTCTTCAGTTCTCCATATCTAGGTTCTCTCCAAATCAATTCTCCCAAAAAAAACTACAAAGAATCGCATGTCTCATGGAGAAAATAAAAAGAACAGAGTTCTTGCAGATTGAATTTGTTCTTCTACTCTTAGATCTAAAAGGGAGGAGCCTCGTCACAGATGGTGACGGAAACTCGATAATTTATAGAGACGGCGGCGAATGTTCAAAAATCCATAGAAACGGCGGCGGCGCAAACTCGGTAATCTTTAGAGACGGCAGGGAAAGCTCGATAATGGCGACGACAAAAGCTTTCTTAGGGCAGGGTTCATCAGAACATGGGTCTGATGATTCTTTTTTGTGTGAATCAAGAAAATTAAGCAAAAACAAAAGAGAAGAAAAGGTAGAGGATCGGAGAAGGAATCATACCGTGGAGAGATGAGGAAGATTGAAACAGTGAGGGAAAGTGAGTGAAAAGGAAAGAATAAATGGATGGGGGCATTATTGTCATCTATCTTAGTAAGCCTTGCCATTTTAAGTAATGGGAAGATAATTTTAGGACAATCAAAAAAGGAAAGTGAGAAGTTAATTTTAGGACGGAGGGAGTAGTATTATGTAATGTTTATATTAAATAATAATTTGACAATATTTGACAAATTATATATTATTAAAATTATATATTAAGTAATACCCCCTCCGTCCACCAAAGATCTTCTCATTGCGCGTTACAAGGTTTGACCGACTTTATTTTCATTTCAATTTATTTGATTGCAAAAATAAAATTTAAAAATAAAATTTATATAGTAAAAAAATACATGAAAAGTTTTACAAAACTAGAGGTGATAATATTATTTTATTTTATGAAATAAGCAAACAAAGTAAGTTAAGTTTGATTCTGTGAATAGTGTCTGGGAAGATCTATGGTGGACAGAGGGAGTATTTAAATTAAATAATAATTTGACAATACTTGACTTGAAATTAATTTGAGCAAAATATTGAAAATAAAAAACGGTGATTTAAATTGTGACGGAAGGAGTAAGTTAAAAAATGATTTAGAGTGAAAATAAAAACGGTGACCACAACCATCCAAAAAAACGATGTGAAAATTTATGCATCGACGAAAAGAATCGGCCTATATGGAAATCAAATTTGTTTAATAATCAAGGAGTAAAATACATGAGAGATAGCCACGATAAATACGAAGGTCGAGAAAGAGAGTGGTAGTGGCGAAAGAGTATGGAATATAGGTTTTATATCAAAAGATATTTAGCCGGGAAAATTGTAATTTGGGCCGGGAGATAGTTATGGATAGACGGATGGACCGATTTTGCGGACTATTAGTGTGTTTGTCCTGAATTTTTTTCGGTTTTGACTTTTCGATCTCCGTATATTTTACTTATGATTAAATAAAAATATATATTTTATATTAATTAGAGAAAAAAATATTTTGACTATATTTGATAAGTTTACTCTACTAAACTATTTTTGTATCTATACAAACTATAAAATTTCAATTTTATAAATTTTGAGGTCAAAGTTTACAATTTTGATGGATGAATTGTATGAACATGATTTAGTCCCTCAAACTATAATTAAATTGCACGTATAAATATAATTTAATTGCAACGATGAGCTACAATGTATTTAAGAATTAACTATAATTAACAATGTATTTGAGAATTATAGTTAAATTTAGAATTTCATAACAAAAAATTAACATTCTAAAAATATATATACAATGTATTTTATAGGTAATGTATCCGGCATGCTCTTTTGATGAATTTTTAGAATGTTATCTATTTGTATGCCTATTATGATTATGATGAATGTTAATTTTTAGTTATGAAATTCCAAATTTTAAAAAGATAAATATTAGCAATGTATCATTCTCTACGCTTACCAGAAATGGGTAACATATTTCTTTTTATTGTTTACTTTTTAAGTAAAATACCATATTCTCTTCGCCCCATTTTAAATTGCTTTTTTTCATTATTTGTCCGTCCCAAAATAAATTGTCTATTTCTTATAATAAAAAACTTTTAAAGGTAAAATTACTAAACTACCCCTAAAATAAGTCCATCTTTCTCCTTTATCTTTTCATTCATCGCTACTCCCATAAAAAAAGTAAGACATTTTTGAAAAATCAATATAATTTTTTCCCTTTCTTAAATATGCTCCAAAGTTAAAACGTGCAATATAAAATGAGACGGAGGGAGTATCTTCCATGTTTGTATGCCTATAATGATGATAACGAATGTTAGTTTTTTGTTATGAAATCCTAAATTCAGAATAATAACTATTAACAACGTATCATTCTTCACAAATGTAGTTTATAAAGAAGTATTTTCAAAAACTTTTAACACTTCATATCGACTTTGGTCATTACTGTATAGAATTCCAATTCCCTTTTTGGGGAATTATATTAAATTATGTAATCTTTTAGATTTTTTAACATTTTTCATTATTCCAAACATTGACAAATTATATGTAAATTAACCGCTCGTGCATCGCACGGGTACGAGTCTAGTTATACTCAAAAGAACAGGTCCATGGACTTCAAATGAACTCCCTCACATAATTAAATTTATAAAAGAAAAATGAGAAAAGATATGTACAAGTGAGAAAGTTTATATCATGTTAGGTGCACTTAAGAATTTGTTGAATTACTCTTTTGATTGGTTTATTGATATTAAATTATCCAATTTCAATCTCGATTCGTTTCTATAGACCTCTGTTTGATATACGAAATTCGATTTATGGAATTGAGGATAACAATCCTAATTTTACTGTTTGATATCACAAAAATATGTGGATGAAATTGGAAGTACCAAAAATGTATTGAATTGGAGAATTCAATTTCATCTAAATCAATTCCATAGAAATTTAAGACGGAGTTACAAAGTTGAGCAGATTAGCATTGCCTTGTTCGGTAATGTGATGCAACTAACAAGAATCGTCAGCAATAATAAGGTTTAGCACTTGGTAAAAAAAACTTAACTAGGAGTAAAACATGAAGAAAAATCAAAATAGGATTTCAATTTTTATAGGACCTAATTTCCTTTTTTAAAAATGGCTGATCGATTTCAACCCCCCAGACTACCCCAGCGACCAACTCAAAAAACTAAAAAACAAAATCAGCAAGATCTGTTGTCGTGCTGCCCCTGTCGCCCACGCCCTTATTGTTTGCCGTCTTCACCACCAATAGAATCTCTGCACTTCCAAGACGAGTCGCTTCTAGCGCTCTTTGCTGCTAATGTCTTCGCTGCTAGAACTCTGTCAGCATCACCGCCGCCGCCGCCGCCACCACCGTCTAATACTGTCGCAGTAGCAGTGCCATGGTAACACATGGACTGTTAAAGAAAAATTATCAATACAGTGCCAACCAAAGCTACAATGCCAGAGATCACAATGCAGAATAAACATGACACTACATAATGCCAAATATGCTACGTATTGAATTTTAACTCCCAAAATAGAACACAATTTGATAAGAACTAGCTTTTATTATATTAGAAAAATATAATTAAAAATCTAATACAATAACTCGCATATAAATCTCATATGACGCTCATATCAAAGCCCAAAACTTGGCTATATATATACACTAGTATTTTTACCCGTGCAATACACGGGGTCGAACAAAATTTTTATTGGTTCTAAAACTTTTTTAATGCAATATTTTTTCCTAGAATAAAGAAAATATATTTCCCTATTATTTTTAATACTATATACAAAAATTCCAAAGTAGAATAAACCATATTTGAGGAAATGAATGTGTATTCAACCAAGTTATTTTTAATACCATACTTTTTGAAAGACTGTAGGGTATATAATTTTTTTGATATAGTTGCAAGGGTATCATTGTCATTTAGAACTAATATTTTTAATTGTTTTTTTTGTCTTCACTCATGGAACCATAACATAAAACTGACCATGAGTGAATACCATTTTTGGTAATCGTAAAATTTAAAACATTTCAAACACTTTTATTTATCACAATAATATTTTCATATCATAAACAGTACGGAGTTTTCAATATTGCGGAAGCTTAACAAATCATAATTACAAACATAATTTATTTATGTTCTTTAATTCAAAACATCACATCCATTCCGACAGTCTCGCCTCCGTCCGCCTCCAGGATCACGTCACATCATTATTTCTATTAACCTGCGTGTAGCAAATAAAACATACTACACGCTAAGCGGTAAAGCTGAGTAAGCATATCTAATGCGTCGAACATCCATATAAATTGTATCTCAATTCACAATCAAATCATTTGATATCATGCACATAATGTTCATTCAGATATTCAATAATCAATATTCAATTTTCAACATTCATTATTCAATCGTTCAACATGTATGTTCTTCATTTGTCATTCAACAATATCCTTAAACTATTCTTAGTCTAAGGCCAATCATTTTAATATTTGTAACCCTTAAATGAATTCTAGTTTAACTAATTAAACTATATTCCAGTATACAGAGTACTCCTAATAATCCTTAAGTTAGAACTAGTTTAAGATAAAAGGGTTTTGGAAATCTTAAACTTACCTTCACTTAAGGCCAACCAAAAACCGACAGCGTAGTGTTCACTGTTGGGTGGGTGGTACCCCCAAACGAGTAGGTATTCAAGTTTGGTTCTTGGATCCCGTACGTATGTTTTAACCCTATCCACCGGGCATCATACCCGCAAGGCCTAACTTATATAGGTATATCTTAGAGTTCTTATAGATACCTTTCAAATCAACATTAATATGAGTATATCTTAGAGGTCTTCTAGATACCCTTGACAATACATATTATTTTCACAATCATCAATATATTCATTATGATTTAATCATTCATAATTACCATTTTTAATCAAAACATTTATCAAGATTTAATCATCATAATCACCAACTAATAATCATTACCATAATCATCAACATATTCATTTTTAATCAGTAGGTTCATTAATCATAATCATCAATCAACATAACATTTAAAACAATAACAATTAGCGGTCTAGTTTCAAGTGTTAACACCCAAACTTACCGTCATGCATCACATAACATTTTTATTTGTTAAAAAA